GCTCAATGAATCAAGGAAATTCAACATAAACCTGATCGAGATGGGGTTAACTATAGAAATATTGGAACTACTTGTTTAACCTCCCCATTATAATGTACAACGTGTACCTTATACGTAGAATTTAACATTAATTCACTATTCAAAAGTGTTTTTGATGTATACTGTTCTAAGTCAATGATTTTTAATTTACTATTACACAACCTTGTTGGCATTTTTTAAGCCGGTGTGGAATAATGCGTGAGCAAAGCACGTGCTTAAAGCTCACGCTTAATGGTTGGCCGCTATTTTGTTTAAAAAAATGTTTATATTTTCTCCTAAATTTGTAAAATCAATACTTTAATATAACTTTTGAAGTGGAAACGTTTATTGTTTATTTTTATATCAATATTGATTATGTTGAAGATTATTAAGGGTCCGTTATTATTTTGTCATGCTTAACTTTCCACTAGACATTAATCTGGCCCTGTTTAAAAGAAATTTAATCTGTAATACAATGACAGAAGAAAAATCATAGTCTCATCTTATATCTCTTTAATCGCATTAATCAAAAGTAGCGTAAACAATTAAATAATGATAATACAAATTATAATGGTATAATTACTCTCTAATAAGAGCTCATTATTCATTTTTAATGACAAACCATCGGCACGAATTACTCTATTATAGACATTCATTTTTCGATTTGTTTAGCATTCTTTGGATAATATTTCTTTGTCTCGGACTCTTCGGATCATGTTGGTTGATTGGACAAGTGTGGGTGAAGTATCGCACTTCACCTACAATTATTAGCGTTCAAGATACACACTACCCAATTTGGAATGTACCATTTCCTGCAGTCACGGTGTGCAATGTAAACAAAGCGATGCATTCTGCTGCCATTAATCTCTATAAAACCACGTAAGTAAGAATATAGATAACATAACAGAAAACTGCAATGATTTTGCATCTCCAGTTAGATGACAAAATGTACAATCTTACTCGAGAATGTTGTAGTAACGAAATAAACTCAACTAAAATCATGCAGTTGTAGTACTCATCTGTAAAATATTTTAAAATTCCATAACTGTCGTGTGATGTGACTAAACATGAAACGTTTAACTGATGTGATTTTCAATATTACAGTGGTCTAAAAGCAGATGTGGGTTTAGAAACTTATTTAGAATTTCTAAAACGATTATCAGATATGGTTCAGCCTCAAGACTCTGATGACTTTGATTTATCAGGCATGGAAGTTTTGCGTGAGAAGTATAATATAACAATGGGCCGAATGATGAAGCAGGTGAGTGATAGTTGGCAGTAATATGCTATTTTAACTTTTAATTAGTGGTGCTACAACAGCACGTGACGTATTAATTGTAATGGTTCAATAATATTGCAACTTGTACTCCACAACACTTCATCCTTATGTTGAAAAACGTCCTACGAAACGATGCCTGAGAAAACAAAAAAAATATATCATTAATTTTTGAAAATTCTAAATTTTTAATGAAAACTGCACTTCCGAAATTTAATTCAGTGTATTGTGATTTATACTTACCAAAATATATTCAAAAAATAAAAAACGTAAAGATAAAATTTGAAACCGTGTTTAAGAATTTCATTTACTAAAATTAAGCAAAAACTACACATATTTTGAAAACATTGTGTACCTATAAGGATTTTTAAAAACATTTTGAACTTTTGCAATTTTAACAAAAATGCTATACACGATTTCGGAGATAGTGTTACTCCCAGACAAACGGACGGGCAAACGATTTGTTTTTTGCAAAAAGTCACATTTTTATGCCAAGAACTCCCAAAACATAATTTTGAGTACACTACGTGTATGCGACAATTATTTGCTATTTACAGAAGCAAGAATATTCCACATTCGTTATCAGGAACATACAAGAAGTATTCTTTTGTCAAAAAATCAGCACCTTTTTCTTGCAACATGTTCCCCGGAAATCCAGTTTGATAATATACTATAATTAATTAATGCCATCAGCGAACGTGACTTTCCCTTTCTGCGCCTCAGATCGCGATTGCCTGTCGTTTTACTTAAAACAATATGTATGGCTAACAGTGACGACCCGCATTAGCGGTCATAGGTTAAGGGATACGTGTGGTTGGCGTTTAGACATCCCTAACCCGTTTTCTGGTCTTCTCAACCTAAGAAGTGAGCTTTTTCATCTTCCCACAGCAACATATATTGGGAAATTGCAAAGAAAGCGCACATTATAATCTACCTTGACAGGAAATCGAACCCGGGGTCGCGTCACGGAAAGAGATCAGGAAAGAGATCACATTGACCGAAGAGTTATCCGAAGGGGTAAGACAATAGGTACTATATTTTGTAAAACCAAGTAGATCATTAGACATAATTTTCATGCATTAAATAAAATTAGTCCTTTACAATACAGATTATCTTCCTGGATTAGTAAAACCTGGCGTGTTTAGAATTTATTGGGTCTATATTAGCTTCTTGGTGTGAGTTTATTTGATCTGAGTAGTAAATGTATAGAAATTTGGTTTTCGATCATCTTCTTTTGAATGAAGATCAGTATCTTTGTCACTATTTCGGGCCATTTGTCTCCACGCTTGTAATGGTTCTCATGGTTTCCAAGCAGCAGCTAATGACAATGTCGGGTTGGTCACTAAATTTCATCCAAGCGTACAGTAGTTCTTTTTTACTTCCCGGCATTGACAGGCAATAAAATTAAGCGTAGCTGATGAAAGAAATTATCGTACCCATTTTCGTACAAGACAACCCATTTTGTAAGTGCATGTGTACGCAATCAATGTAGCTTTTTAGTCAATATTGTTCAAATGCGCATTTCAGAGAACTCTTAAATAGTTTCTGTACCATATCACGTTAAATGTTAGAAAAAAGTAAGTGAATTTACGTGCTACTTTCATAAAACCAATTTATCATAAAACCTAATTAATTTCTTATTCATTTGAAATGTAACTGAATGTTGAAGAACGGGCATCAACCACGTGTTTTGTCTATGGCGCTTGTATATGAGACTCCTCAATAATCAAATCTGCATGCCAAGATGGTTTCTCCTCCTGCTTTGATTTACTGAACATGAAAGAGATTAGCAATGTTACATCCATATTCATAGCTCCAAGAGTTACATGTTGCGTATTTCGTTTTACATTTGTTTGCTGATAAAACTATCTTAATTAGTTATGCCAGCACGCTACCGTTACATGAAACGCCACAAGGAACTACTTATATTATTGTAACGTTTATTGCATATGCTACATAACGTACATAACCTAAAAAATCAAGTATTGTCAGGTATTAATTGAAAAATGGAGTATCGTATTTTTCTCTAACGTTACTTAAGAGTTCGCGCTCGCGTGCAGACATTGAAGTTGCTTAGCATATATAATAGATATCTCGCTTCATGCTGCAATAACTCGCTAAATATTAGTATGTTTACTGGAAAGCAGCTGGGAGCTAACTGAAGTGAAGTGTTGATGAGAACATTGGTTGTAATTTAATAATAAAACACCCCATATTACAATAAATATTCTGTGTCCGTACAGTTAGCCCAACCGTGCGAGACACTCCTTGTGGCTTGTCGCTGGAGAGGAGAAAGAAAGAAGTGTTCTACTCTGTTCACCCAGGAACTTTCCGACGCCGGCTATTGCTGCTCTTTCAATTATCACGCACTGGAATCCACTAATACATCTCAGTACGTATATAATTTTCCTCTAAGTAGACCATAGTAATGAACCAACGTATTAATCATTGAGAACATGAATTTAATCACAAACTGCTGTAGCGGTAATAATTCAATTCACTGAGCTACATTCACAGTAATATAGAATTCAGGTAAAATGAAATGCTTAAAATTATTCATTAATATTTTATCACTGAACGCGGAAGGTAATTTAATTTTTGAAAACGTTATACTTCAATGCGTGTAGTTCAGAAAATAAAAAAACAAAAACTCTCAGACAAGTCAGGCTTGACCCTGCGTCGCGCCGGTTGTAAAACTGCCACTGCTAATACCTGCTTCATTGTTCTCCGATGGATCGATGCAGTTTTACGCTGACTAGTTTTTGAAACGTCAACCTTGATTTGCCTATGGATGAGTCGCTTTAGACTTTGATGATTCCTTAAATGATCAAAAATAACTCATTTTCTTCTCTTCTCCCAAAGACAAATCACCGATGGCAAAATTGTTCATAGAATAAGGTAGTAGAAAGGTTTTTTAATCTTCAATTCAAAGTTAAATTGTAAAGTACGATAACTATCACAGCAGGAAACGGATTACGTTTTAATTTCTCTTCAGATTACATGGACAGAGAAAAAATGTGCTTGTGTCTGGGGATCAAACCATGTTTTCTATATGTTTTGGGGGTCGCTAAATCCCAGTCCGATATCCATTTTACTCAATCACAGCAGGTTTTTGACCTAACCTCAAAAAATAAAAAAATGAAAGATATTTCTAACCGAGGAGTCAAACCATGTTACCCATGTGTTTTGTTAGTTGCTGAAACCGAATCTGAAGTCCAATTAATTTCATCATATCAGATTTTTCATTTAAAATTAATTTTTTTTATTCAAATTCAAAATCTTAAAAACCTGTCTGCTGGGAGAGAAGGCTAGTGATCTGGCGCCGACCATATAGGCAATCTGCCATACAACGTGACGAATGATCTCCCGTCAGGGCCCAATGCCACTTTCTCTAGCAATTATAATTGATCTGAATTAGAAAATTTGGCGTGATATATGAAAATTGGATATGTCAAAAACCTGATGTGATGGAGTAAAAGGGACACTGAATTCGGATTTAGCCACCCCAAAACACGTAGAAAACGTGATCTGATCCCTAGACAAAAACATATTTGTGTGTGTGTGTGTCTGTGTGTCTGTGTGTGTGTGTGTGTGTCTGTGTGTCTGTGTTATTGTTCTTTCTTGTCGGTAAATTTCTTTGCCTTTACATCTTTTGACCTATCATATTGACCGATTTATCTCCAATAACCACGTGCCATGTATTAGAACTGTGTGGCATGTGAACGGCGCTGGTTACTTGACTGGACTGTCGCTGCTTCTGGACCCTGAACTCGATGAATACTTCTCCTGGCCCTTCTCCTTTCGCGGGCTGCAGGTGTTGGTGCACGCGCCGTACAACTACCCTGATGTAACAGCTAGGGGCGTAATAATAGGATCGGATCGCGAGGCATTCATGCAGGTGTGTTCTTTGCATTTTTTCCAATCTTTATTGTTTATTCAATGTTTTATTTCAACACATTTACTTATGTAAAATATTTTTCATTATTATTATTATTACTTACAAGAAATTAGAAGTATTCTCACTTCGGAAGAAACGGCAATATATACATTTCAATGAATACCGCAATATATACATTTCAATGAATTATTTCGTTTTATTTTAATTTCTCTTTCCAATCCTAAATTAAATATTTTTCTATTTATGTTCTTATAAAACTATAATGGATTATTCATTCGAATATTCACGTTCATATGTTTTACATTTCAGATTTCAGCAGAATCAACATACACTTCCGATAATTTACGTCATTTGTCTCCTCACGATAGAAAATGCTTTTTGAAGGAAGAGAACAGTCCTAACAAGAGTCTCGGTGGCACCCAGTATTCATATCGAAATTGCATGGTTCAGTGTCGTTTGCAACACATGATAAAGTTATGTCAGTGTGCTCCTTTCAATTATCATTTTTTTAGTAAGTTAATTTTATTAACTTAAAAAGAGTTTTTTAATCATCCTGGATGTTACTTACAATATCTTCGGGAACTTAACATCTAACGAATTTTGGAAAAATAATTTTGTAACATAATAACGTGCCACATATTCCTATAATCTACTGCTTTCATAATATTTTATATTGCATCAAATATTTTTGTTTTTGTTTTGTATTATGTTTAAAATTGATTAAGTATTATTTAATCAATTGTAGCAATAAATCCTGAAGATTATTTTTATTGTACGTACATCCTGAAATAATAATTATATTTATCTAATTCTTGCAATTATATGGTGGAATTGGTTTCAGAGAGTTCTAAAACTTGTGGACTTGCCGACATTGAATGCTTATCAAGATATAAAGGTAAGCCAGGTCTGAAACTTACCTGGTCCAATTTTAGAGTAACAATTACGCAGGTCGTCAATGGTTCGCTAACAAGGACCAAATTATCATTTGCTGTTGTCAATTTTGTTTGTTGTATAAATATGTGCCCACAAGGAAATCCCATTTACTTTCTCGTATTTGTAGTATATACGGAGTAATATATATATAGTATAGAGAAATTTATGTAATGCTGCGGCAAAAAATGGCAATTTTTCGACATACGAAGGTTGCTTTTTATGTTTCGGGATTTGGCAAACCTGTTGTTGCAAACTGGCAACTGACAGCTCTATCGCAAAGTTGGATGTTTTGATTTGATTTTATACAGAACATTTTGACATCCGAGCGCTATTTGTGTTGTTTACCGTAACTTAAAAGATTTATCTTGGCCCAAAAATGGAATTAAATCCTAAACATTTTCGTGCGATTATTTTTTACAACTTTCGGCGTAGATTAACTCAGCAATAGTGCATGGATGAACTTAATTCAATTTTTGGCGATAAAGCTCCATCAAGGACCAGTGTTTATCGATTTGTGAATTCAATCTGTGGTCGTAGTTCACTTCAAGACGTATTTCGCGGAAGATCGTTCAAAATCAGTTGTTGTTCCGAAAACCAATGATCTGTACGGAAGTGATATTGCAAGATCGTCATGTGACCTATCGTGAGATTGAGACAACTTTAGGCATTAGTGGGACCAGCATACATTCAATACTGCATGAACATTTGACTGTCAAAAAATTTTTCGCGTTGGATCCCACACAATTTGTCAATCGCTCAAAAAAGGCTCGTGTCGATTGGTCGAAAGAATTGCTAAAAATACGATTGCGGTGCTTCGAAACACGTCTATGACATCGCGACAGGTTATGAATCGTCTGTGACTTACGCGTATGAACCCGAAAGTAACACAGTCACGATGTATGGGTGTTTCAAGACATAGCAATTCTGAACAAAAGTTGTTCGCGCACGAAGCACTTCCAAACAGATGGTCGCCTGTTTTTCGGAAAAACTGGACATGTCACAACCGTACCACTAGAACAATGCAGAACAGTTAATTCTAAGTGGTACACAACGATTTGTTTGCCGGCTGTCATCCAAGAAAACAGGAAAACCAAACGCCGAAGACGGATCACTTTTCATCACGACAATGCGAGCTCTCACACATCGGCTCAAACAACTGCATTTTTGTGCTCCCAAAACATCGATTTGATGAGTCATCCGCCGTATAGTCCTGACTTGGCACCGAATGACTTCTTTTTATTCCCGTATGTAAAAAACAAACTGAGAGGTCAACGTTTTTCGAGGCCTGAAGAAGCGGTTGCTGCATTCAGAATGCATGTTTTGGAGATACCGCAATCAGAGTGGCAAAAGTGCTTCGATAATTGGTTCAAACGCATGCAAAAGTGTATATTTTGAAAAACAATATTTTGAAAAACAGTAAAGTGGTTTTCGATTATTAATATTTGTTTTTGTTCTCTAATCCTGAAATATAAAAGGCAACCCTCGTAAAACTCGAATACACAAACTAATACAGAAAAAGTGGGTAAATCTGGTTTTGTATTTTTATAATGTAATTTTTGGTTACTCTGTGTGTTACTGGTGAGGGTACAACCATGCAACCGATAGGTTGCAGCCATGGGGTACGTGTGGTGGTTAGCAGAAAGACTACACCGTATTATCACTTATTTGTACTCCGTTCAAACATCTTCCAGCAAAAATATTGACTTTCTTATAAATCGCAAACGTTTCCACATAGGTTACCAAATTATACATTCGAACCCTTCAATCCTTAAGAACAGATGTTAACGCCCCTGGGTACATTTCCAACTTCACAACTAATTTAACAGCCTACTTATATATCAATATATTTCTTATCTGGCGACCAACTTTTATTATATCCTAGTCCAAATCTCAGCCCTATCACATTTCAAATTTGCCAATGTTATCGTTTACCAACCAAGATTCCCAACCAAATATCCATACCTCATATTGCTGAAGAAATATTTTCATTTAAATGCACGCTGAGGACCCGAAATGGGATTTTCTCTTCTTTTGTACGTAAGTTTGATATTTATGAGTAGCAATTAAGTCTGTAAATACATGTTAATAGTAACATTAACTGACCTATGCAATTTCCTTTCAAAAATAAAATAAAAAATAAAAAATATAAAAGATAAAAAATAAGATAATATAAAAGATAATAAAATTAAAAAAGATTCGGCGTGATTTTTTAAATAATTTCGTATTTCTTTTCTTAAATTTTTAATAAAGTCGAAATTAAGAGTGTCATACGCTTTTTATGAAAAAAAAGGAAGAAGGAAGAATTGAATTAGCAGTAAGGATGGCTCGTCCTCAATATTTTATTATCTCTGTTATTTCATTTTTAGTCCAATGAATGTCAAATTAAATAGTTTTTACCGTACCTACCTGAAACTTCTCTCTCCGTTCTGTGTTGTTCCGTCCAACAGTTTCAACAGTCGTTCGGGAACAGTTTTCACACGAAATAAATTGCTGAATATGACAATGTGATACATATCTTTGCATAGGAATACTCAATAATGTAAACGTGGAAGACGAAGAAGTTCCCGGGCTAAACAACAGCCAAGGTATTTCATGTGAATGCCTTCCTTCATGTGAAGACGTCGCATATCGCACCGACTTATCACTTGACCGTTTCTTCCGAAGTGAGAATACTTCTAATTTCTTGTAAGTAATAATAATAATAATAATAATAATAATAATAAATATTTTACATAGAGATATTCCTACTACTTTACTATTTATCATTCTAGTGAAGTTTAGTTCTTAGTTTTACTGTACAGCAGTACATTGTTAAATAATATGATTTTTGTTCAGCCCTCAAGTCTTCTGTTTCGAAGTGGGTCTCAATTTTGCACTGAAACGGCCTTTTTACACAAATAACTGTGAAGCTTCTATCGAATACTCTCCTATTCTTTGTTATAAAATGGCACAAAACTTCAAACGTTCCTGGATAGGGGGAAGAAGAGGTCTTATATGTCTGAAACCTCATTAATTAATAAATTGAAGAGCTCAGTAGAACAAGGAGTTATCCCAATTTTTTATTGTGGTCGGTGTCGACTGTCGAAATTGTAAACGATCGGAAAGAATTATTTTGACAAAAATCCTACGAATAGTTTAGGCGCGTGTGTTGTTCACATGCGGACAAACAAATAGACGGACGGACAGACAGTCAGATAGACGGACAGACATTCAAACAGACTGCCGGACAGTGCTAGGCAGATAGATAGAGGGACAGACAGACGGACGAACGTTTTGAAATAGACCATTTTTGGGTGTCACGGGAATCCCGAAACCTGTATTTCCGTTGAAATCTCGAAATGATTTTTCTCCTTATCTGTCTCTGTGTACGTATATTACTTAGTACTTACGTATGTTTATGTGAAAGTAACTAGTAGTGCTACAAATAGCACAGACTTTCTTGTATTATTTTATTTTTATTTTTTTTTCTTCTAGGCTAGTTTCTCGGGCTTGCCATATATTCTTGCCATCTGCCATCTATTGTTGTCCAAGTACGTTTTTTTTGAAATTTTGTCAATTTTTGGTTTCCCAATAGTAGTTTTAATATATTACAAAAATAGTATATAAGAGTAAAACCTCGACCTTTATGGCAATTTCTGTTGACAAATTTGGAGTCTTTTTTGGAAAATGGTGTTTAAATCTCACTTCAATGCGAAATCTGTCTTTTTTTCATAGAATACTTTTTACTTTTTTATATACATACGTATATGAGAATGTAACATACTACGTATATTATTACTCCGTATATCAATCAATAGCGTAACGTTGGGGACCCGCAAGGCCCGCCTTGTAGGCGGGCCCGGGTAAAAGAGGGTCTACTTTTTTGATGAATATTTTGCGATTGTAAGAAACATTAATTACTTGATACTTTCTTTGACACTTTGCGATAGTCGATACAATAAAAGATTAAAAACAGCATCTTCCAGAACGATTTTTTCCCGCTTCGGTAGCTTACGTAACCATTTTTCTAAATCAATAAAAGTAAGCAGTTCATTTAGGTTTTATACGTTTTAATTTCATAATTAAATAATAAAAGCAGATTTTTCCAGTCTTGGTTATTAATTATACACTGATGAATTCAAAAATGTTAAAGGATGTTTTATTATTTAAGGTACTAACACTAATTGTGTTTTCTATAGACATTCGTAAAGGAGGACCGGATAACAGTTTTGCAGGCGGGCCCGCACTCATTTCGTTACGTTACTGCCGTATATACGTACGTATACGAGAAAGTAAAAAATAGTCCTTCTCTACTTTTAAATGCATTCCTCTATTCGAGAGAAAATCAAAGAAAAATTCAGAGCCTTTTTGCACAAAATTTTAAAATGTCATGTAAAGAATTCCCAAAGTTTTAAAATATCTTTTTTCAAATTCACAAGTCGTTGGGTGGTGCCAGATTGTGAAATGTTTATATTCCGTAAATTCTTTGATTTGGTTTCTGTGTTAGTGTTATTCGACATATGGACGGTTCGACGATCGGACGGTCGGACGGTCGGACAGTCGGACAGACTGTCGGACAGACTGACGGTGGGACGGACAGACAAGAAGAACAAAGGATACACAGACGTTTTGGAAAAAACCTAATGATGTTATAAGAGAATGTACTTCATCGTATTACTGATAATGGTAACAATTACATGGCTACCGAAAAACTTCTAACTATAAGAAAGTCCCGAAGTTCAAAACAACACATTTCTTTAATTTATTAAAAACTAGTGGACCCGGCAATGCTTTGTTGATGCAGTGTATTACACTTCACACACTACTGGTCACGATATTGTTAATCACGTTTTACGCTACGCTTTGCAAAAATTCTAATAGATGAAAGACATTCTCGCAAGTATGGATTTGTTCTATGTCCTAGTTTGGTTGTCAAGTATACTATAAAACGTTCTCTCTTAAGTTTAGGCATGCGTTCGCTATGACACTACCTTGGAGAAATTTGATATACTTGTCCAAGATAATGTTCAAGTAATATTTCCGACCGATGTTTCACAAACGCAGGGGCAGAATTGGCAGCAATAGACGCGCTTAATACTTGACGGTGCAACATGTTGAGCAGAGCTTCTGTTCAGGGGCGCTTGAGACACCATAAACGCATAAGGCATCACCAACAACGCCCCCCACGCGTCCAATTTGATTCAAGACACCCTTTAAACTCTTCCGAAACTATTGAGAACAAGTCTGATTATTTGGCGTTGATGTTTTGCCAAAAGGTGAATCTATACTTAGCGTATTTTATTTAGAGAGGATAAAGTATCTTTACGAACGTTCAATTAATTTTCAGTCCTGGATTGAAAATAAAAAATCGTACAATTCTGCATGTATACTTCAAAGATCTATCAAGTATTCGATTCCGAAGAGACATCATATTCACCTGGAATGATCTGTTAGGTAAGTATTGAATTTGCGTAAAAAGGGGGATCGATCAACGTCCTCACTTCTTATGATTCCATAATTACTGAAAGGGAAAGGTCTATTTTTTAATTCGTTAACGTCAACAAAATTAACACTATGCTAATATGAGAGGAGGGGAATACAATCAGAACACGTTCTTCTGGGCGACGGTTTCAGGTATCCTCTCCTTAGTATTAAAATCAGTTTTACATGAATAAAGATAGCAACAATGTTGTCAGAAAGTGACAACGAGAAATATTAATAGAAACAGCATTAGTAAATGTGTTGAGTTTGACTCATTTCCCTTGTAGTGCTCACGTGAAAGAATTGACTCTACCCCTCTCACGATATGGAGAACGATTTATTTGATGATACTACTGACTAAATAACTAAAATTCCCACTAACATTCCACAGAGCTGAAGAAAATTTGATTAGATAATGAAGTTTCATTTATGTTCAGTAGGAAAACAAGAGGATCCTTGTAATAAATATTAATACAAATGGGAGACATTGACCAAGAAGCTGAAGTCAAAATCTGTGATTGATTATGAAACTTGAAGTACCTACCAGTTACAGGGGTATTTAGTCTTTTAGAATTATACAGTACAAAATGTTTATTTTTATTAAAATAAAAATTATTTTTGTTTTTGATGTGCAAAATAGTCTCTAGTTCCGAAGAAACGTTAATGCAGAAGTAATTTTTTTCCTTACCATGTAACTTGTGTATACATTTTAATAGTTTAATGTCAACTGGCAGTGTGTTCTAATAATTCTTCGTAAGTGTATTACATGTGGATTTTTTGTAGTGAGCTGTCTTGCTTGTGATATATATGATTCCTACATCGTGTGATAAAATAATAGATGTCTGCATTGGAAATATGTTCCCACCCTTATTAACTTTAAGAGAGTTTTGACAAACGATGAGGCAACGCAATCATAGAATTCCAAATTCAGTAAAGAAAAGCATGCAGGGATCGCATGGATGAAATTTGCTTACTCGTACATTTTGTTTGTTCTGTCTAAGTTCGATACATTGTGCGGGTTTTTCAAGAAAACGTGTCGGGGAGTTTAGATAAGGACAATACAATGTAAAGGTTACTCTTAGGCAACGGTCATGAGTACCTGAATTTAACAAATACTGGAAGAGGAAGAATATTTCCAGACGGCTGTCGCTCCCCTAATTCAGAGCAGAACGGGATTGTCAAGCGAAAGAACCAGTGCTTGATGCTGTCAAGTTCAAGGGATCTGACTTACCAGTTTGTTTTTACTTATTTATTTAAGGTGAAATAACAATTAAAAACTATGTATTACATATTACTGGGAGAAGGGGAATCTGCGCGTTTTTTGGAGCTTTGGGATCCCTACCCACTCATGTACATATCAAGTTGAATTATTAATGTTGGTAGCAACGAGCATATTTGGCAAGAATTTATAAGAAAATAGTTGCTCCTGTGTAATAAAAACTACTTACTAAATCAAATCAGCTATAGCAAGATTTCTGCACAAAGGCAGTAAGCACAGCAAACTATCCAAGGAATCATCATCCGACAAAGAGCTTAGGCAATAAGACACCATTCGAAGCTTCAACTAGCGTGGTTCTAGACATCCATGTCAATAGTATTTTGCTGTCAGGTTTGCACGGACACAGAGGCCGAAGATGAGCGTGAGTACCACCTGGATAATTCATAGAATTACATATACCTCCGCAGTGCTCAAAGCCTGCAGTAGCGATTTCTTACGAAGGGGGTTCGATGATGTCATCCAGACCTCCGATGAAGTCTTTCTGATTTTTGACAAGTTTACCCCTAATGAAGTTGAAGACGTCTCTGCTGAGCCTCCAGTTCACGGCATATGATGTACAGGCCCTGGTTGTCCCCAAAGTATTAAGTCTGGTTCGAGGGAAAGACCGACTTCTCTCCGAGGTGCCGTTCACAGAGGTACTGAAAGGGTTCGCAATACGACCGCATGGACTGTCCAAGAAAACAAGTCATGGCTTGTCAAATTAGTAAGAATCACTTTGAAGCACGTTTGGTCGCTCAAGGGGTCAGCCAAATAGCCAGGCGTTCACATCACGAAAACTTTCGTATTGGTGATATTGGCAGTGAATACTACCTACTATACAAGAAGCAAGCACGCTTGTTCGCTACCACTTCATGTGATGTGCTGAAGCGGGTGTTTCGTCATGTGCCGACGGAGGACCAGGCTGCAAATTCCCTGACTAAAGTTCTCCCTAGGCCAAGTAGAAACGGTGCGTGGAACTAGTTGAGGTGGACCCAGAATATTGCATATATCTATTTAATTTTTTGAATGTAATAAAATCTCATAATAAGCTTCACTTATTCTGTTCAGTAAAGACTTCTACCTCCATCAATGGAAATATCATTACAAGAATACATAATGTGAGAGGTGTAATTGTTCTTGTATATTTCAGCATCATTCGGAGGCATTGTTGGTCTCTTTCTTGGCTGCAGTCTACTCAGCTTAGTGGAGCTTATGTACTTCTTCACTCTTCGCTTTATATTAAGAAGGCCATTGACCAGACCTAGAAATGTTAGTGTTTCACAAGATCAGCTAGCACAAACTGGTCCCTTTGCATGGACTGCATAAAAGTGATACTAAGGTGTTGAATGTAATTGTAGCTTGCAATTTGAATAACATTTCTAATTTCGTAAGTGAAAGGTATTAGTGGTAATATTTAAAGCAGTTTTGAAATTGTATCATCACATTGCAAAATTTAAAAACAAATTATACCTTAATATACCTTAATTTTTTTAATTTTACAACTGAAATTTCAACAAACACTGAGATTGTGTGTATGATTCATTAAAAACAATAATTAGCAGAATAGTTATTATCATTTAAAAATAAGCTCTTTTTTTAAACATACTACCTTTATGTTTTTCATTAGAAAGGTGATAAATACTGTAAGCGGTAAATTCATATTTCTTTCTTGAAACAATGTTGATAAAGAAAAATATAAATGATCTCATCAATTCTTGTCTCATTACAGAGACTTGTTCCCCATGAATAGAGTAATCTTAGTTATGAAGAATGTTTCAGATCTTCTGTACCATGCTCAAATTGATTTCCTGGAAGTTAAACAAAATACAAATTAAAGGGTACTGAGATTATAATGATACTTTTAGTTACAGAAGTTCATGAGAAGAATCCAACATACACTTGATTTCAACCTACCATAACCTAACATTCATATGCATTACAACTTCCTGCCAGCCTCAATCATCATCATATAGAAATACAAGTAATAGTCATCATGACCATATATAAAATGAAGTCTTTATATTAGGTAGGTTTCAAAATACATTTCTACTTACCATCTTCTCAATGCAGAAAGTTTCTCTCAAAACAGAAGTTAAATTAGAAACAATCAGAAAATCAAATTTGCTTATGACTTGGGAACACATATTTCTGCATATTAATGACATAACTCAAAATAATTCGAAGAGAAAAACTCATGACTACTGTTGACTATTCAGATATAGTGTTAAATTCTTGGTGTCCAAATAGCACTCCTTAAATGATATAAAGAAAATGCATTTAATGTGGTTATACTGAAATTGAAATTTATTGAAGTAAAATAATGTAATAAAATGTGATAAATCAGTTTATGATTTTGCTGTGCTTTATAAATGTTAAAAAAAAAATAGTCACCTTGAAAATTCAATGAATACATTATTGAGAGAATCCAAGTAAAATTTACAAAGCTATCAGTACAAAACTGTTTAGTTTACAACAAAGTGAAATTGTATGGTTTAGGTACTTATTTGAAAGTGAATAATACGACAATTTTTCCAATAGAAAAAAAAGTACTTTCTTTATTCACCCAATAAAAATAAGTAAATATTGCAAGAATTCTAAACTTGTTTTGTTTACAATTCTTTTGGAATGTTTCAATTCCAAATTTATTAAAACATTTCATTTTTTAAAAACACAACTTTATTCCAAATTATTCTTGCACAAACGTGTCTTTTCTCATTGCAGTCAGCACTTGCTCAGAATAGTGATCACCAGTGATGTATTTTAAGCTGGGCAATAAATGTCAAATCTACCGATGTGTGATGTTTATCAGATTATTTACATTCTGTAGGAGAATAATGAGAAATAAAAATTTACAATGATATTACACAATCACATGTTGTCAATAATTATGAATAGCGTAGGTAAAAATGTATCATTCTTTTTGCTAAATAAACTCTAAATAAACCTACAAAAACAACACATTTCTCAATTTTTATACATTTGATATTTCAAATATGAAAATGTGCTCCTTTTTCTCTTTCCTCTTTTTGATTGAAGTCTTGTTTTTATCATGGGAAGGAAAAAAGTTCACTACATTGCACCATTAATTAAGAATTACAATAACGATCACAAAAGCAAGACTGAATGCAAAGCAAACGAGAACATCCCTATTTACATTTCTATTTAAGAGTCCAAAACCACACACAGATTTAACATAAAATTAGGACAATATCAATTCCTCCATGTCTCCATGCCAGCATTTATGAATGCGATTAATGTATTTTAAATGTTATTCTAATATTCCTGCAATGAAACCTTTTGTTTTCTTATAGTCTCCCTGATTTAATTTTTTTTATTACACTGAAGAGGCAGTAAATTTATTTTTAAACTATTAATTTTGCAGACTATAACATTTAATACTTTATCACAAACATATTGCAAGCTAAGGTTTCTCTCCAGTATTATACTTTTCAAAGTGTGTCTATTTAGGAAAAGCATTTTGTGTGTATTAAAATACCCCAACATTAGAAATTTACAAAAAAAATTTCAAGTTTCTTTTCTTTTTCTTATGGATATTTAATACTCAAATCTATTCTGATATTACATGAGCTAGTAGGGATTTAAACAGGACACAGAAGATTCAAGAAAAGGACAATAGTTTAAAATGCGGCAATACATACAAAAACTACACAAGGAATTTCACAGAGGAGAAACACAAAGCAATTTACAAGACTGATAATTTATTACACTCCAACATTCTGTTACATACAATCTGCTGCCTATAAAACTAGTAATCTTGCACACAAGTTAAATACTCTCATAATCACAAATACACATCATATTTTTCACTCAGTCACAATTAGTAAAAAATGCATCAAATAAGTTAATCAGACTTACTCATCATCATCTATATTTACAAAATGACCCTGGACGGTTGATGACTGATGGTATCGCCTTCGTGAAGCAAAATCTTCATTTTCTTCATTCAGTTGTGCTGAACACACTTCAACTCCAGGATGCATTGGAGTCACTACTATTTGTTCATACTCGTGAACCCGGCGCCTGCAAACATTGCATAAAAATTTATGTGATTTTAGGGTAAATGAGATATATATTTTTATAAAACTAATTTTTAGAGGAGAAAATTATTCAAGAAATTATTTTTTAATTATATCACAAAACAAAAACAGCTTATCAATTAATGACTCATGATATAGCACCAACCAAGTCATTTTTGACTAGTAATCATGCTTACAGTGTCATATCCTCATGTGCAACATATGTTCATCCAACAAGCTACACTGATTAGTGAAAAAGGTTTCATTACGATGTGTATCAATCATGTATAATTCTAACTTCCATCTATTATTACAATAGTTATTTTTATTATCCTACTTAGAAATTGCTAAATTAGACGTGCCCTGGCAATCCCAATTGAGGAGGTTGCAATTACAATAACTGCATGGTGGTTTACCCATGTTTTGTAGCATAGTGGCCTTTCTCACTTGATCATACATCAACCTATTAGTACCCTTTCTATCCTGGCTTGTGTGAATGGTGAAGGCATTTGCAAAGGAGGCAAGTACATATTACACCTAAGCACTGTCATTTCTTGACACCCCAGAGGCACATACTCAGGGAACATTCCCAGTATCCCATGTGGTACCTATGGACCTTGATCTTACTCACATTATTATTACCTACCCATAATAATACAAACTGTGTTTTGGCAAAATAAATTATGAAACTTACATTTGTTAATTTGACAACACATTTCATCAAATGAAGTTCGAATGCCAAGTGAAGTCCCAGTAGGTAAAAAACAGCCACAATGTTTAAAGAAATTGAAAATTAAAGATGAAAATCATAAATTTTAATAATGTTAAGTTCTCTCAATGCATTTATTAACAACTTAATACCTAATAAAGTAGTAATAATAATAATAATACAATAATATAATAATAATAATAATAATTAACAACAATAAACACAACAACAGTTTTCACTACTCTTGTTGTGCAACACAGCCTTTTGCTGTGTTGCACACGACAGGTGCATGCCAGCGGGGCAGAGGGGGGGGGGGGTCACGGGCGCCAGGCTAGTGCACAGAGCTCCGGGGCCTCTTTGGAGGGTGCAGGCCAAAGACGAATTCTTGTAACGCGGGTATCAGAGTACGGGGGATGATGTTTGATGATGGCCTTGGAATGCATCTGCCCTAGCACACAGCTCTGTAACTCTGTAATGAGATGAGGCAGTCTACAGCGAGGAAGACTGTCAAGTGATTCCCAGCAATACGGGCTAGAAGAAAATTGCTGGAGGCATCCGAGTTTGAGACGAATCTCGGAACACGCCCTTTGTCACCTGCGAGGGGGTAATCACCCAGAGGCCAGGGGCAGGCTTGGGAGGTGTGCCTTTCGCCACGGAACAAGAGGCCACGGGCAGCACTTGTATTGGAATGCTGGGGTTCTCTGTCTGACTGGGGCGGCTTGCCTCGGGGGTTGCAGTGCTGTGGAGTGCAGCAGAAAAACGTCCCTTAGGAGTGTAAATCCTGTATAGTAAATGACTGTAAATAAAAACTTTGTCTGTGTGTGTTACTCATATCACAACGATGGTACAGTAGTAACAACTACAACTTTAATTCAAAAATGGTCTAAGTGTCACAAAATTGATTTTTTGTTATTCATGTTTTTAGTCAAAAGCTTTTCATCAATACCTGAAAATACATTTAAAAAAACCTCATCAATATCTCAATTAGTTTTCTTCTTCTTTGTTGGCCTAAGCTTTAAACACCTGTCGCAAAAATTAGTTGTTCTTTCATCACTTTATGGGTGACAAAATTAGTTGATAAGAAACCTCTCTGTTTCTGTAAAATTGGGGAAAGTGCCGATTAAATTTCTAACTTATATTTTGCATTTATTATTATCAATAATACAGCACAACGTGATTTTTTTCCTTAACATTTTTTGAAGTATTTAGTAGAACACTCCTTTCTTACATCAAAAATCACACCTTTTGTTGGAGATCTCTTACGGCTAACAAATTGCGCCTGGCTTAGAGTAATCCGGTCGCAGGTAGTGCCTTTTATCCCTGCAGCCTGGGGCTGGGCGCTGATAGCTCCCGGGGTACCTAGACGGTCACCCAACCAGTAACCCACAATGTGTCGTATTCGCTTGACCTCCGTGACTTCGCGGAGCATAGTAAACGAATTCAGTGGAGCTGGTTGTTTTTGTAAGGTTTATACCCCTTCTAGAGAACTTCGTATTCTCTCCACACTTCAAGTTTACTTCATGTTTTTGTTATGGCAACTTCTGCAAATCTTAACCAATATCATTTGCTAATTTTCAGTTTTGCTGTATTAATATAATAGTTGGCTGTTAAGAAATTGTAGAAGTCATCTAATTAGAGCATCATGACAATAAACCATAAGATTCATCAGGTCTTTTGGTATTAATACCTTAAACTCTTAGTTCATACAATTTATTGTTAACATAAGGTTTCCTTTCAATTACTTATCAAATATTTTCCTTTCATGGAACAACTAACTGACTTTATGAACACAATTGGATCTCATTGACAACTTGTTTTTTCATTCACTGGATTAGATACATACCTCGCACACTATTTTCCTTTTTTCTGGGTTGAACTCGTTTTTTGTGGGTTTTTTTTTTCTTTTTTTTTTTCCCCCCCTATTACTGTGTTGTGTGTAGAAAGAAGAAAGTATTGTAATGCTGAAGCAAAAAGGGGCAATTTTTAATCAGAAAAGCTCATTGTGGGGCCCTGATATTAAAAAAGATGATAATTCTTCTTTATGTAGATAATTATATAAACAGAACAAACATTTAGTTGGGTGTTGATACTGAAAAATTGGTCAATCAATTTTCAACCAACCTCAACTCAACCGAACTCAAAGACCTGCGAATTTGAAACATACTAAGATCAGGAGTTCTTTACATGAGGCTTCAACATTTTCAAAAGTATCTCAAAAAAAGGATCTAATGCAGCATTGTATGCTGATAAAAATGCTACAAGACCCCTTTTCATTAAACTATCTTCAAAAATTGTGAAAATTCAAAACTTTTTCAGCATCTTTCTACAATACCACTACTGAAGATAGAAATGTTTTTCTTAATATTCTTCAAAGCAATATTTTTAAACAAGGTCATGTACAATTTGTAGACAGTAGGAGACATTTTCATGTAAATTTTCATGAAATATAGGAAATTTTAGAAATGATCATTTCTCAAAAACGGCTCCAAATTGTTTCTCCTATAAAATAAAGTATCCTTACAAAAATAGTGCAGGTCCCATTTTCGCTAAACTATGTCTTTTTGAAAATTGCGACAGAATTTCCTTGGTGTCTTCTTATAACTACAAAATCGAAGATAAATATTTTTCTTCTTGAAATCTTTTCTTCAAAATTATATCTTCAAACAATGTCAAGTAAAATTTCTGAATTTTTGAAAACTGCAAACGTTTTCAAGTTTTTCTTTAAAGTGTCAAGAAGGTTGTTTCAACATCGAAGTTGGTAGTGCAGAGGTAACACGAATGTCGCTAAATGTAAGAACCTGAGTTCACAGCCCAACAAGAAAGAAAGAAAAAAAATGATTGTTTTAAACTCTTTGGCAGGTTCAAGTAGTATTATAATATTGCATAGCTGTTAGATATAATGCAAAAACGGATGTACTATTGTAGCACCACTAATTATTTTTGGCAGCTGTGGTGCAAAACTATCAAATTACAAGCAAAGGTAATGTGGTAAAATGAGTTAAAGATTAAACCAAGCCAGTGATCAAATTTCTATGTCTGGCTCTGGAGTATAGAATCACTTTTATCAAATTTGTGAAAAATGGGAAGAAAATAGAATTATCAACTATCTTAAAGTACTTCAACACACTGAAGCAAATGGTAATCAAAGGATGGTTCACAATAAAGTGCATTTAATTGGGTTCATCACTCCACACAGTTCTAACATTAATGCAACAATATGTGAATAATGATAGAATCATGATCACCATTATGACAAATAATTAACTTTTATATTTTATTAATTAATTCATCATTATCATAATGGCAAAATTAACTCACCCCATAAGCCTTAAAAACACATTCTTCATCCAACGGAAAAGTTTGAATTCTGAGGCTAATCCAGGTTTCACAGCAGGATTTGCATGACCAACATAAAGGCAGACAAGAAACACCACCAGAATGTTTGCAACTGCATATCCCCAGTGAACCAGAAACATAATGAGAAGCTTCAGTAGGGCCTGAAATGTAATTACATTTTATCAGGTCACAAAGAAAATTAAATACAAATCACTAATTGAGTAGTAATGCACCTTTCTATCCTGAAATTATGAACACCTAATTTTTTAAAACTATTTACATTGTAATTGTTCAATATAAAATTAGCCCACTTCTTATGAGGACCACTTAAAGGTTCATAATTCACTTTTATATTCTCCATTTAATCACGAACAACTTTTTTGAGCAATCAATATTCACTTATGAAGAAACGTGTTCTCTATATATCTTACCCCAAATAATGACAGCCACCTGTTACAGAGATTAGAGTACCAGTGATTGGGTTTAGAGTGAATATGAGCATCCTTAGGAGGTACAGTTCGTGCTCCTGCATTTCCATCTTGACCACTTCCCCCACTCCGAACACTCGAGTGTTCATCAGGAGATGAGACCAGGCTGGGGCTTCCAGAACTATGAAGTCCTTGCTGCATAGGTTTAAAATAATATACAATTAAATTTTATTTGTCAAATAACTGAAAGAAAAGTTGCATTCTAATTAAAATAAGGTGTGTTTACTAGTAATTGGAATGTAAATGCTTATTTGTTTTTACAATAGAGTACTATAAAAATGTTGTCCTATCTTTATAAAAAAAAATTTTGAAGTGATTTTAAATATAATCCATTTGTTTTCATTTACACTCCAGAACACTGTACTTATTTTTTTTACACATTGTAATATGTGAAAAACATTCCATAGCTGCAATCTCTCATTAAATGTCCTTTTACACAGCATTGCAAAAAATAACAGACATCTCTTTCCAATAGTTTACTCAATTTTTCAGTCACATTTCCTTCACTTTCTGATATAAATGTAAACATTTTTCATTAAAAGCACGCCTCTGTCTTGCTTGCCACAAATTTAACCAAATATCACAATTAAAATTAGTTAATCAAAGAATATTAACACTAAAATTCAGCTAATTCAAACCTTTTTGTGGTGAGTTCTCTCTGGAAAGAGTTTGTCTAAATCACTGTTGAAACGATCTATAGCCTCAGAATGTCCACTCTCGGTAGCACCATAACCTCCACCTCCACCACTTGGACTTGAGGCAAAAGTTGGACTCAAGAATTCCCGAGCTCTAGAATAATTTAAATAGATATTTAGTAAATATAATAATTACATTATTCTAAAGTGTAATTATAACGAAAACTATATGATCAAACAGTTTAAGAACATTTTTTAACAAACAGTGCAAATGCATGCTCTTATTTCCTTACCTGAATCTTTCTTCTCTCCGAAGTTGAATGTCAAAAGTTTGTGCAAGGGCAAAATATGAGTAGTCAATGGCAGCATATGTAAGCAAAAAGGGCATGGTAACCACTGGTGCCAAAGTGTTAATTTGTCCAACCAGAATAAAAGTGACAATAGTGACCGCAACAACAGCCATGGAGTAGACAGGAACCTTGTTTGGCCCACGCTGTTCAGTGTAAAAGAAAGTGCAATGACAAGTACTGATATGTGTTCAAATAACAAATTGATACATGCATTTTAAATCTTATTTTCTCAATTCAATTTTAAATTTAACATAAATTATTGATGAGCATTATACAATTTTCTTCAGCAGAAGTGAAAAGCAAACCAAATAACAAGAAAATATAGCAATGAAGCACTCTAAAAAGCAATCTAAAGCAATATTTTAAATACAAGTTCATGAAGAACACATGCTTTTTAAGCACAAAGTTTATAAACCTCAGAAACAAGAACCACATAACCACAAATAAAAGCAAGGATTCAACTTGTTGATGAAGAAAATTATATTTATTTATCCCTTCAACATGAAATGCCAACAGGAGACTGCATGTTAATTTCATCTTGTTTCACACACACTACACCAATGGGTTTTTCCTTTCTTTGGTGTGATATCTTGTGGAGAGAGGACGCCTTAACAACGCACTGAGCTCGCGACCTACCACCAAGGTAACACACAAACTCACTTTTCCCTCATCCGCTTTGGTATGCATTTATCTAACCTAGGATCCATTAAAGAGTTAACTTATCTTTGAATATTCTATTTTAGCCCAGCTTAGATCTATAGGCAGTGATTGAAATACATATAAAAAATTCACTGTCTTCAGAAAAACAACATGCAATGCACAATGTTATATAAATATCAGAAGATTAATTAGCCCAAACAACTTCATTTGAGAAGCACATTGTTATTAACAATGAGAAGGGAAATGGTCCATGAATATGACACATTGACAATCCCAAAAAAACGGGTATCTTATTTGTAATTCTTGTTAATTGTACAGTCATCCATCAGATGACTTCTGACCCACTGAGACATTCCGTAATGTTATCTGACAGATGTCTTCTGACCTGTAGTGACCACTGAATGCAACCATTATGATATGTCAGCCATTGATTGCAATGCAGCCTCACAGACCCCTTATGACATTGAACGTGTTTCAGTCTCAAAGCCTTTTAATTCAGAGTTAATATGTTACTGCAGCTCCTGACATCAATACATTTTTATACAAGGTTATTCTTATCCAAAAATTTAAAGAACAAAATTATGAAAAAGACCAGCTTCAGTTTGATAATTTCATGCAATATTTTTCATGCACCCCTGGGCACATGAAACTTAAAATCTGTAGTCACCCCAAATCATTGTAATTCTACTGACAAATATACAGTTCTCTGCATTCTAATTATAGTACAGTGTGATATAATTGTTACTAATTTTATTATTAAAAAATAGTGAATTTTGAATGCATTATAGGAACATCTATGCCTTGAATTTTTTTAAAATTTATTTCTTAGCATGTGCTATTTCCTTCCATAATTTACGAATAAAAAGTATCTTAAACTGAGTTAACAACAAAAATGTGTGTTTAGTTTTCTGACAAAATGTTTTTTCATATTCAACATTAGTATGACATGAAATACAGAAATTACTGAAGCCTACAACTAGCTGTAGGTAGATGATTAAGGGGAGAGTAAGCATCAAAGAAGATGGTGTGCACATCACATATTTTTCTTAATTTTGTAATCATTGTTTGCTCACAATCCTTTTTGGAATGTCAAGTTAATTCGCTTAATTTTGTCTCTTAAAACAACAATAACTTACCCCTCTTCCCAAAATTTGTATAAATGGAATGACATTTTCATTTGCAATAGATTGCAAAACTCTTGGAGTACCATACATAGCAGCAAGACAACTGGACATTGAAGATACGTATAAGCCAGCTAAAAGAAGAACTCCTAAAATGAGCAAAATAACATTTTTAGTTCTGCGTCTGAAACATTTAAATCTTAAAAGAAGATTATTATCACTCCCTTGAGTTCCATCTACTTCTAAATATTAAATATCTTAACAATAAAATAACCAAGCTTTTTAACAGGCCAATGAAATTCTTTCATTACTATGGTTAGCAAACTATATTTAGAGTGTTTTTGCAAGAATTTGAATGTCGTAACAAGACAATTTTGGAGAGAATGTTACTGTGCATGCCCCAGCATCCAATGATAAGATTTTGATTGATGGGCTCTTTCATTCTCCTGATTGTGTCATTTATGACAGAATTTGATTGATCATGGCTTACACTTCATGTACTTTTTGCTGCAGCCACTTCACATGAATTCAATCCTAATATACAATAATCATGAAAATAAAGAAAACTGCAATATGCATAGTAACAATACACGGTAGAGACTCTAATCCAAACTTTGGTAATTTAGAAGTTCATTGAATTCAAAACCAAACTCAATGGATTTTTTCAGGAAAGAGAGAAATAAGATAGTTTGTTACATTAAAATCTATTGTTGTACTGCTGAATATATTTTTGACAAGTACAAGAAAACAGTCTAATGAAAGTTATTAAGAACAAGACAGTAATAAACTGCTTTCATCTCTTAAAGCATCTCTAATAGCTTTGTTCTGTCATTGTTCTGTTTGGAGATAAAAGCTGTTCGTTATAACAACTAATTTATGATTTAACTGTAATAATAAAAAAATATTCCAGATAATCCAAAAAGTTCATTTATCCAAAAGGGGTTCAGTTCCTATTATTTTGGATGAGAAGAAATTTTCTGTAATATTACAGGAACTTTATGGTTTAATTTTAACTTGTAAGAATTCAAATATGTCAGGAATAAACTAACATAGTTGTTCAGAATTTGGAGGTTATGTGTATGTTGAGGCAACATTGATTGTTAAAAAATTAAAGATTCATATCTACAGGTGGCTATTACATTTGTGTGGCAATGTGAGTATTTTTATAGTAAAACTAACATCTTAACTCTATCAAGGTAGCTACATTTTTCTTTGAAGATATAAATAATTATATAACTTCATCAGATTTCTTTCTTTTAAACTACAATTTTGTAATCCCTATGAATCCAAAAATTAAGTCAGAAGATAAATAATGTTCAATAAAAGTGTTCAGGTATTGGTAGAGGTTTTCTGTTCAAAAAGGTTGCTAGTTTTGCAAATGCAATTTTTCAATTGCACAACACGGAAAAAGTCATTGTTCTGAAGACACGTTATTTCATATTGACGACTATGATAGTGTACTACAACGCTGGATTTCCTCTCTAACAAAACAATTTAATATTAATAACAATTAATGACTGAGGAGTAGTATATGCATCCCTTTTTAATTCGTCTACCATGTTATAATTGTTTTTGTCTATTTGTTTTGTTTATTCCAGTAGACGTGAACCTTGCAGTGTTTTCTGCTTTGATATGTTGAGTGCATCTATAATATATTAATTACTAGGGGCGGATTTTATTGAAATGTCATTATTTTTCTGTTCTTTTGAAGAACAGTCCAAACCCAAAGTTTGTAAGCCGAGTTCACATGGACAAAAGGAAGAACCCTCCATTACATCAGTAACATATTCAATAGGTTGAGTTGTTCACCTGAAGTGGTTTTGATAAGGTTTTTTATGTAATTTTTCTTTGTTTTTATGAGCATTTTATTGATCATTTTTGGCAATATTTTAGATCATAAAAATCCACCTCTACTAATTACACCATAAGGAAGAATTGGTTATATCCTAACAGTAATAGGTTAAATATCTAGCTATAATATGAATATAGGTATTTCTCTAGCTCAATATAGAATGTTCCTCTACCTCCAATGTGCCAATTAAAAATTGTACATGTTTCATAGTTATGTATGAAGTCATTATAGTATCTTGTTTGTTATATTTCATTTTAGGTGCAGTACGAGAAGATTTATGTACCATATTTGAATTAAATTTATTCCGGCAGATTTGTATTCCATAAGTATTAATTAATCAATTTAGGTGTTTGTGTATTTAGTCTACTGATTTATTCTTAGACAAATTAAAACATAATTATAATTCTGTGATTCAGATAGAGTCTTCATTCAGTTCAGTTCTTAGGAAACTGATTGGTAAACATACATAATGTTTAAACCCGACTACTTTAAAGAACAAAAAAAAAAATTTACTTACGCACAGCAGATACTTTTGCAGTTATCATAAAATCACTCATAAGAGCTTGTCTTTCACAAGTAGAACCCAAAACTAAGACAAAAACCAAGTACAGGAATGTGCTAGATGGGAGAAGTTCAAAGAATTAGCTATTATAAATAAACCAAAAAAATCATAAAAGAAATGCACAAACAAAATAGTATGACGATTTGAATAATCTTACTTGCTTACCTTGTACCAATTGCAGCAAGAGTACCATTAGGAATGTCACGAGAAGGATTTCGTAAATCACCACTCATGTTAATTCCAGCCATCACACCAGTTACAGTAGGAAAAAAGACTCCAAACACAGTGAACCAATTGTAGTTATCTTTGTAATCTGGATACATGTTTCTTGCCAAATTCTGCGAAAGCCAGCCTTCAAAACCACTCTCTAGAGAAATGAACAAAAATTTGTAAGTACTTATAAATAGCTCCAATTGAATATTTTAAAAACTTTTCATGGACAAAAACAATGATCTATAGAACGAGTGCAGATTATTAATATACAAGATCAAACGGCACTTGAGAATGAAAATGAACAAATATTTTATTTTCTATAACAATTAACAGAAATGTTTGATAATAAAATATTTTGCTGCTTCTAACGGAATGATTTGGTTTTTTCTCCATTGGCAATTTCCTCACAAGATTGCTCACATATTTTGATCAGTGGCCATTATAAATTGATTTTAAATGAGGTAGAGTCATTATAAATGTTGAAAGATGGATTGAGAATTTTGTTCATTTCAATCAGCAAATAATTTATCAATATAGTAACCTACTACAAAACTACAACTAAAGGCAATAACGTGCAAGAAAGCCTTTCAATCAGATTCACAACTAAATTTAATATAGATAATTATATTGAAATTTACAAAAATTATATAAAAATCCATTAAAGAAATTACTATTTCAATAAACCTTTCATTCAACTGTCAAGCAAAGTCTTGGGGAAAAACTACATTAGTGAAATTATTACAAACCTATGTCAGTGTGTACAAAACTACCAACAGCAAAGTCCAAACCAGCTAATAGCAGAATTATTAGCAGTGCAAACTGGAGTTTGACCACCCACTTCACACCAGCAATATTGATAACACCAAGCAAAAGAACAGCAGCACTAGCAAATCCACGTTGTGCCCAAGGTGATTCTAAGCCCACCAGTCCTGCCATAGACTCTCCAAAGCCAAGCACATACAGTGCACAACCCACAGCCTGTCAAAACAAATATAATTTTCTTGAGAGTTCTCCACTATAAAGTCTTACCTACTTTTAAACAGAGCAAACTGTCAATATGTTCATATTTTTTGTACATATTTACACAAGAATGACTTATTACTACTATATATTTACACAATTTGAAAAAGTTGAAATAAGAAAAAAAAATTTGTGATGGAAAAGGTTTTGGTATTGCCTGTTAATAAATAATGACATTTCGAAACGACTTTTATGAAACTGAAAGACTTTTGGGAAGAAAAACTGATGAAATCTCAATTTTCATCACTTTTTCCACAATGACATGGCATCAGAGGAATATTACAAAGGTATACAAAATCTTTAATGATTTGCTGTTTCAATTTACACGGTAACTGCGAGACAAAGCAATGACTGCATATGTAATAGTGAAAAAAATATTTTGTGAAATCTTCGCCGTTTTACATTTCAATTAAAAAAATTATTTAATTTTCTCGATGCTCCTTATAAATTCATCAATAAAATACAAAATATAAATTTCATTAATGCATTAAATGAATATACGATAAATTATCATCACCATATATATTATTTCTAAAATGTGTTATGTAAACAATACTTTTCCGGATGATCTACTAAATCTATCTCAGCAAATAAAGTGTGTTTAAAGTTGCAGTCCCCAATGACTCATAGCTTACACATTTGTGTATGCTATATAAATATTCATTTAATTTATTTATTTTTTAAAGAAATGTCCACATCAAGCACAATCTGGAAGAAATATAAGTAACCAATTCTCGTAGTACCATGTAAGTGAGGTCACAGTGCACCTTTTGCGTGCAGTTAGCATTTGTGCAGTTCAGTGAAGTATAAAGATTCATTTGTTTTTCAATGATGTCTCCACTACACTTCTGAATTGGATTAAATTTTCAGGATGATAGCAATGGTGACTGTAGTTAACATGGCAGGGAAATCATTCCTTTTCCTTTCTGAATGGATTATTATGATAAATAAATAACTGAGTAAGAAAAATTGAATTTGGTTTTAAACTTCCCCTGCAATTTAAACACACACTGCAATTGAGTTTCCACTAATAATACATAAAAAATAAGAAATTAAAATAATAATTTCATACACATTACTAGTAAACTATTTACAGCTAAGACCTACATTTGTTACACAAAATTTCAAATGGCTAAGTATTAACTTTGTGATATTTTAGTCCAAACAACTACTAACTGACCTGTCCAAAAACGTACAAAAGACCCAGAGCACCTCCAAATTTTGAACCAAGTACATGGGCCATCAGAAAGTAAACTCCTCCGCTTTCCATGCGACATCGTTCACAGATGCCTACTGCAGAAAGAACCGATACCAATGCTACAGCAACTGAAATCAAACCAGAATTTCCTCATTACAGAAAAATTCAGAACCAAGTCATTTTAACCCAAGACCAGAATCGACAAAGTAAATACAAGCAAATTATATAATATATTAAAAAATGATGGTGGCAAAAAAGGTTTCTGAAGTCAGTTCTAAAAGTACAATCGTTAAGTTTCATTTAGTTAAAAAGTTGTGTAATACAGAACAATCCAGTGTTATACAGATATGCTCAATAATAAAAATGTGAAAGTACACTCACAAACCCACTTGCTTCTGCCATGGAGCACTAGTAGGCTTGTGTTGTGAGAGAAAGGGTGTTTGGAGATGTACAATTTAGCAGGTAGGAAAGGCTTGGCATTACATCTTTAAAATAAGTCATGAGATCTCAACCCCGACACAAGAAGTTGGAACAATTGCACACAACTGAATTCAAAGCAATTTACATATTTGTTGAAACTGTTAGATTATGAAGAAATTAGTCAAAACTGATCTATAATATATTTTAGGATGCAATTAAATTGGTGCAAAAGACTGAAGTCCCAAGTGCCATCCAAGATAGCATGTGAATTGCTTGTCAAAAATTTTCTCATCAGTACATTCTTTATTCATTCAAAAATTGTCCCCAATCTTATTGTTTAGTGCAGTCTGCAATGACAACAAATTCTGACTTCAATTGTCATATATTTTAGCATAAATAAAATTAACACAACTCGTAACTACTTCATATTTATTTGTGCTTATTGTAAGTACTATAAGGGAGGGAGGGTTCACAAGCATTATGTAATTATTTACGGGGGTTCACACGCACATTACAGATGTGTCATGAGGGGAGAGGGGCACTGAAAATACTTAAATTAGTGTTACATAACTTATGGCCAGCTCCTAAACAGAGCGGGTTATTTTAAGTGGAAACCAATGTGATCCTCCTATATTAGCAATAAATGATTTTTTCACCTCACGATCATAGATTACTGTGTTTTTTTCATAGTTTTCTAAATTCATCACAGCCTGCATGTCACTGGGACTTAGAGCACATTTTCAAAACTCGAAGCAATGTTGACGACTCACAAGACCATTAAGGTCAGTTGCAAACAGTGAATGTCCAGCAATTTCGATAGCTGGCCAGCAAGGTCAAGCGCAATTACACAGCCACGAGTGATTTAAGGCTGCCAGAGTATGCTCTCCAATTCCATGAATTCACAAATTTTCATAATTTATGAAAACAGGATGTTTTCTTCAGCAATATTTACAATTTTTTGGGGTACTTTGACTTGCATTAAGCACAACCTTTTGGACGTGATAAACATTTGTTCATCTAACTGAGGAGAACATCGAGAAGTTTTGCCCCCCCCCCACCTGAAATGGCTCACCCTGTATAGGTAAATATAACCCATAAATATTAAAATTAATAATGTACAAAAGAATTTTTTAAATGTTCCACCTCTTCTTTTTGTTTTTGATTTCATACACAGAGATTTATAATTAATGTCCAATTCTGTTTAATGAATTTTTCAAGGTCATTGGAAATGGATATTTTTAAAATAATAATTATAATTTTAAAAATATGCTTCCTTAAACTTATAAGTTACAAATTTTAATGCCTCAAATATCTGCACTTTTAAACAATGGCAATACCTTTTTCATTGTTACATTTTGTTATTAATATAATTAATTCACATCCTGTTACAATAAAATACCATAACAATAAAACGAAGGAATATTTGTTACAATTCATACATTAAACAGAACATTTTTGTTCCAAAGCCCTAAGAAAGCAATGGAAATGGAAATGTGCAAAAGTTACCTGTAGCAATAACAATAAGAACTGCACATAAGACTCCAGCTTGACCCACAATCCAACCTGAACGAAGAAAGACTATAACTCCAAAAATATTGATGAGACATGATGTGAATACGCCATCCCACTGACCAAATAGTACAGGTTCAGAGATAAAGAAGTTTGATTTCCACCACGGTCTGTCACCCTAATGTAACAAATATTTCATTTATATGATCAGAAAGTTTAACAATCACAAAAAACTTTTAAAACATATTTTAAAAATTTAAAAAATCTATTTACCTGCTCTTCTGTGTACAGTTCATTAATTTCTGAAACTTCCTGACCACCAACTGTATAATGCACACCACTGCCAGATACAAACTTGTTATTCGTAGAACTAGTATTTCCATTTGCTCTATGAAGAGGTGAATTGCCTAGGCCATACCTAGCCCAATCAACTGGCTTTGCATTTTTGTCTTCAATGCTACTTGGCAAAGAGGCTGATCCTGTATCATCCATTTCTATCTGGTATTTAACTCACAAAGCAAGGAATACTGTTTCACAACATGCTGATCTGGAAAATTGTGATTAAAATGTCACAAGGGTAAAATATTTACATAAATGAAATTCGGACATGACAACTTATATTACCATTTCATACGTTTTGCAAGAAATGTTCAAAGAATGGAACACAAACTAATGGACTGTCACATTAACATATGGAATGAACAATGGGCCATTTCATTACATTCTGCAAAATATGATTACACAGATAACATTCATAACAGGCACGTATCACTTTAAAAAAGGAATATCTACACCGATCTAAACCTTTAGATACAACTTCCGTCTTCTCTATTCCAACTCATAACTTTCTTCTGATATGTCGAGTAACAGTTCCTTAGATTTCGTTTTTCGACTTCTTAAAAACAACAAGAATAAGATTTTTTAGTAACTTATCGGAAAAGAAAATCGTTATCGCAAATACAATCACCTTATCGCAAACATCAACCCATACACCCAACCGGATTCATTTGACAGATCGACGTCTCCATGAGTCATCGCTTAGATTATGTCCGTGAACTCATTCTCAAAACAGAAAAAGTTGATAAAAATTTTCACCATTCAGCACATGTGCACCATATGCGTTCAGATCATTTTTTTTCTGCTGGGAAAAGTGGTTATAAACGATGAAAAAGTTGCCACAACTCGTGGCCAACAAACGTCAACTTCAGATACGCGTCATCGCATTCCTCCTCAACTCCACTCCTGCGCGCTCAACGCCTCCCGACCGCTCCCGACCCCAACCCACTCATCGCCTCGGCCTCGCTCGCTTACAGCCCGCCTTCTCTTCCTCCGCTCGCTCGTAAATCGCAAACGCCAGGGGGGGCGTTCTCTTCGTTAGATTCCGGTTCTTTTCGGAACGAGCTGATACATCAGCCAATAACTGAGAGCGGTCAAATTACAGTCGTGGTGTGGTTTGTTTAAACTGTCCAGTCTATACAACAATGTTCTCCGCCTTTCCAATTTTCCTTCGAGTACAGAGGAAACTCTGTGAAAAAGAATTGACAATTACTTTTTTAATCTATGTGGATAGTAGGAAGACGCAGGACGAACAAAAATGCCAACGGGACCTCGTAAATGCTCAATTACCATCTGGAATATAACTTTCTTTTTATTAATCAAACAAATCTCAATTAACATATTTTATTTTCTTTGTCTAGTAAAAGACAATGGCAATAAAGTCATCTTATACAAAATACTTTTATAGACTATAAATCTTAGTAACTAATATGAAATTGTAAAAATATCATATAGAAATGTTATAATGTGTTTACATAATCCACATTTTGGAACTGACTGAGGAAGGAAATTTAAGTTGCAAAAAAAAACAGTATAGAACCGATTTCTCCAATCAGTTAACACGATCTTTGCCTCGAAAAACTAGTGGTGTTTTAACAGAACGTACTTTCTCGCCCTAATTTCATGCAAAATTTCGTGACAAGTGCTCAATTTTTCAAAAAATTGTACATGACCTTCTTTCAAAATCTATCTTTAAGGAACTGATTTAACCAAGGTCAACATCCTTATCTTTAATATCTCAGTAGTAGGAAGACTCCCAAAAAAATTTGAATTTTCGTAATTTTCGAAAAATTAGAGTTTCAATAAACATGAGACCTGTACCATTCTCTTAAACGTCCTTCACACTATTTAACAAAATTAACAAAAAGCGATGGAGCCATGTTTTTGAATATCACTTTTGGAGAAATGGGCTGAACGGTTTAGCCACTAGCGTTGTTCACAGACGGACAGACGTTTTGCCGTCATTCAATTTTTCGGTATCAAGAACCCATAAAACATAAATTCTCTAAGCGGATTTCTATGATTTTGCATATGTTAGTCCATTGCTTCAGTGCATAACTAAGTGAATTTTCTTGACATTAATCTTGACAAATTTGTCCATAATTTGTTCTTTTATTAAGCTCATGTACATTTTTTGAAAATTTTAGTAGTTTCGGGCAATATTGCGTTTCATTTTAACAATTTTTAAAAATTACATTAACACGATCTTCTCAAAAACGTCTCCAATTTTCTCTTCAAACTTTTGGTAGGGATAGTGCTAAATGCACTCTGTGAGATGATATCAACATCAGTTTGCTCTACTCTTTCAATTTTTCAAAAATTACAAAAATGTAATTTTGTGACTTGCCCTTCACATTGTTAATATTTACATTAGCGGCGATTTGTTGACGTTGTATTGATGAGTATATGTGCTTTAAATAATGTCATATAATGATTCTCGAAAACAACCGTTTTCTGTAAAAACTAGCTCAAAATTCCACATGTTTAGAAACGCTCAAACGCCCTATTCTCTAAAACCGCTCAAAATGTTTTCTTCTAACTTTCCGAAAGGATAATGCTTATTGAACTTTTTAATATGACGTAAAGGTTACTTATTTTTTATTTTTTCAGAAATTACATAAATGTATTTTTGTTTTTATATATCTCTCACACCATTCTTATCACATTTCTAGCAATTTGTAAACATTTTGAATTTGTAAGATAAAGTACTTTAAATGACTTCATATGAAGTTTTTCTAAAACTCAATAATTTTCTGTGAAAAAGTTTTACAGTAGCGCTTAAACGCCTTTTTCATAAAAATGGCTTCAAAATTTTCAAAGAAAATTGGCAGTTAGTGCGAGGTGTCACTATTCTTTAATATTCATGAAATAATATTTCCGTTGTATTTCCAGGAAACCGAAAAATTGACAAAATTTCAAAAAAATATACTTTGGGCGGCGATAGATGGCAGCTCGCAATAGTAGTGGCAAGTCCGAATAGCTAGCCGAGACCAAAGGAAATAGAAAACTAATACGAGAAAGTCCCTGCCATTCTGAAGCACCACTAGTTTTGGCATGCGACATATTGCGGTTACCACGACGAGTGCATATTTGTACATATTTGGCCGATTTTTCCTGTTGGCGAACATTTGTATAATTATAGGCGCATTTTGTGTTAAAATAGAAACATCTATAAAAGTTTCATCTTTTCATAGAATATATTTATTTGTGAGCGTTCACTGATTCGCAAGAGATTGTCTCTGATTGCTTTTTACTAAGTACGGTTTTTTCCAAATTGAAAAAAAGAACCTGTCCATCTGGCTCGACTCAAAGCTTTGAGATTTTGAAAACCACTCAAATTTGGGGGCACTTTACATGAAGCCCTTCTCTTTTTTCAAAATTTTCTCAAAAACTGCTCCAATTTTTCTCCTTAAATAAAATGTAAGAATAGAGTAGCATACACTTATAAACGTGATATAGGTCCGATTTTCACCGTTAACTGGATTTTCGAAATTTCAGAAGTATGATTTTTTTTCGGTGTCTTTCTACGAGTACAAAATTAAAGATAAAGATTTTTCTTTCAAATATAATGTGTTCTTCATAGTAAGCTCTTTTATTAAGGTCATGTACATTTTTTTGAAAATTTTAGTAGTCTTCGCCCAATATTGCGTGCAATATGTGCAATTTTAAAAAATTACAAAAACAAGATTTTCTCAAAAATGGCTTCAAATTTTTTCTTTAAACTTTTGGCAGGTATAGTGCAACATGTACTCTATAAGATGATATAAACGCCATAATATTCTTTTGTTTTTTCAAAGATTACAAAAAAATATAATTTTTCGACTTGTCTCTCATGTCGTTAACATTTATATAAGCGGGAATTTGTTCAAATTATTGTATTTATGTGCTATAAATAATGTCATATAAAGTTTCTCGAAAACTCAACCGTTTTCAGTAAGAACGAGCTTAAGACTCATTTTAAAAAAGTCTCAAAAGCATTTTTTTTCAAAAACAGCTCCAAATCATTTCTTTAATTGTTTCAAGTGGATGGTGCTGATTGCACAAGTCCCAAAGTTCATTTCGGTGGGTTACAAAATAAAGTTCTCTAAAACCGCTCGTTTCTTTCTTTAAATTTCCTTCACTTATATATTGAGATGATAAAAAATAAATTTAAAAAAAGCATTTTAAAACTACAAAAATGAAGTTTGAAATTTTTGCCTCAAAGTCTATTGTACAAAGTTAGCTCTTCAAAAACGGTTATGAACAAGTTTTTGAATGAAAAAGTAGTGTTTGCGTATGTTGCAATTGAAATTTACAAACAAAAAAAAATAAAAAAATAAAAAAAAATTAAAAAAAAAAAAACCTCAACATCTCCACATATATAATAACAAACTATAAGGAATATGGCGCTAGTCTCATTTTCAGATATTACTAGTTTGTTTTTTTTTTCGAAAATTGCGGAAAGGAATTGCGGTATAATATTATTATTACATAACTGTTAATAAGGGTGAGAACGTGTGTGCTATTTTAACACCACTAGTTTTCTCAAAAACGACTCCATAGTTTTTATGGAATCTTGGTGGATATGCTAAAGAACGTTTATAATAATGGTGTTGGTCTCATGTTGGTTGAATACCCTGATTTATTGAAAAAAATACATACCTTTTCGGCTTCTTTCTTTTCAAAAATTTGAAAATTTCAA